AGGACAACTTTGTTTACAGAGTTTACTATGTCTTCTCTAAAACTACTTCTAACCTCAGGAATGTGAAATGTTTACCACAGCCACTCTTTTTTTTTCAGTTGTAAATCTATTTCTAAAGCAAGTATTCTAATTACCATTTACTGGGAAGTCACAGGATAGTTGGGTATTTTGCAAGTCAATTCAGGAGAAAAATAGAAAGCTGGTTAAGTCCAATTTAGGTGAGGTTAAGCACTGCAGGCTTAAACACACATACAGAGTGAAACCCAGCTCCTCCTAGGTCGCACACATTGTGATGTTAACAGCAGCAAACAAAGGACCAAGGCAAGGGGAAAGAAAATTACCTGTGGCAGCCACCATTAAGACAGTAGACCACCTTTTTAAAGATCCACATGGGGAATGTATATAGCTTCAAAAAGGTCTGAAGGATATTTTCATCTTCCTATCCACTCAAGACTAGACACCAAGAAAAGCATTATTTCTAAAAAAGTGTTATTCTGAAATAAAAACACATCAAGTGCAATTGTTGTGGTGGGGTGCTGTATGGTCACTTTAAAAGGTCAATTTCCAGTGGGGCACTGAGAGCTTTTTTTCTTTTTTCCTGGAAAAAGGGAGGAAGATCAAATAATTTGGGAACCTCTGCTTTAAAAGGATCTTAAACTCCAAGAATGAGTGCATGCATGCAAGTGTGGAGGTGATGATCCTGCAGACGAGTACTCTAGAATAAACTCGGTTGATCTGAGAAGATTAAAAAGCCAATCAGAGATCTTAGTGCACCAACAGCTGTGGCCCAGAGACACAGCAGCGAGTCCTGGAAGACACCACAGTGCCAGAGATCCCTCCCGGCCCCATATCGAGCCAATTTCACTGGGGCAACCCAGATGCACACCCAGGCAGGTACACTCTCACCACCTACTCCAATGGAATCCCTGGTGACCAAGAGCTTCCACAAGCAAGGCCCAGGTATGCAGGTACCAGGACTAAATCTCCAGGCCACATGGCGGCAGAGGATTGGGGCTGTCCCTCCCCGGGTCCCCACCCACTCAGCAGACTGACTGTCATGCCCACAATCTGCCTGGGGACAGGGGGCATCTTAGCACACCAACAGCCCTGGTCCAGAGACTCTCAATTGAATCCCAAAATGGATTAGTGCCATACAGAGATGTTTCTGGAACCCAACTGATATAGGCAGGTAGATAGGGAAAGGCCCTGGACAGTGAAACAGGCCAGCAAAAGTTCTGGAAAGAAAATTCCAAGGCTGATCCACTTTGTGGATAAGACCTTGAGCGGCGGACCCTGAGTAGATTGGACCCCTCCCCATGAAGGAAATTCCTCGAATTCCCTGGACCTCTCCCTCAATCTGATTAACTTTAGTGATTCAGCCCAAAGTAGACCATCACCACTCCCAACCTCCTTAGCAACGGACTTTTACCTGGGAAGAAACCCCGACGTGGATTTCTGCCCGATCCCACGTGCTGCTTATGCCCACGTGGCAGAGCACATGTGGCGCTTGAGCACATATGTTGCCCGCATCTCTCTTCTTGAGATGTTGTGTACTTTCATGCTTTCATGCCTAGTGCTAGGATGTATGTAGGGGTTCTCTCTCTCTCCCTCTCCCTCTCTCTCCCTCTCTCTCTCTCTCTCTCTCTCAGCCCTTGGAGAAACCCATGTTCTCTTGAGTGCTTCTCTCTCTCTCTCTCTCTCTCTCTCTCTCTCCACACCTTAAACCCTCCAAATAAAATCTATTTATTTCACTGCTTGTCTACTCCTGAAATTCCTTTTTTGTGAGGTAAGGTGAGACAAGAACCCAGTAACCCTGGGTCCCGGGTGGCAGAGGCTGTTGGGAAGAAGGTGACCGTCTTTCTCCCCGCTTCAAATAAATCACCTGTGGGGCCTACCAACATCACAACCATTTTTTACAATCTAGAATCCCAGAAGCACATGGCCGCAAAAACAGCTGTGCAAGCTCTTGTGATATTCAAAATGAGCAATGGAAAATACATTATCTAGCGTCAGCCCCTGGCAGGTAGGCTTGAATGGTGGTGGGAAAATTCGAACAAAACGTAATGACCAAAAGTAGAAAGAGAGTATGGAGGAAACTGACTGCCATAGAGGCTGGGTGAGGACTGGGATGAGGTAGGGGGGATACTGGGGACAGTGGTGGTGGAAAATGTGCACTGGTGGAGAGACGGGTATTTGATCATTGTATGGCTGAATCTCACACATGAAAACTTTGTAATGCTACCTCATGGTGATTCAATAAAAAAAAAAAAAAAACCCACAATCAGACTTCAGAGGTGAGCCCAGGAATGAAGTCCAGGATCATGGGTCTCAGTGAATTCAGTCGATGACACCAAAGATGAGCAGAAAGGGGGTGACTTTTAGGTCATTCTCTAGCAATGAAATCAAGCCTTAAGAAGCTCAAAGTGTTAGTAACTTCACTTCTTAATTACCAATACACCAAAAGCAGCATTTTTGTAAGGAAGCAAGAAGCCCTGTGGAATGCCTCTGAACTAGATTAAACCACCAGGCTAGTAATTAAACTAACTTTATATTGGAGAGGACTCTTGCTCAAACTTGAGCAATCCTGCTCATTTCAGGAAAGCAATTTTAGTACAAAAGTGGAGACAAGAAACTTTTGAGCTTCCATTTCAGCTCAGATACCATCGTTGGCAGCTTCTATTCTCCTAACTACAAAATCTGGAGACCAACCACTTCCAAGAGGTGTTAAAGGGGATTAAGATTATGAAATACTGTGAAGATAAAAAGGCGTAAATCTCAGTCTTGTATCATTTGCAGGTAATTTAACAGTCTTTGTTTCTGTGTCAGCAAACAAGTTTTTACCATTTTATCCATCTAGACATTTTGATAGCAGTTACTGCCATAGTACCTAAGTGCCATACAACCCATTTAAAGACTGCTTAGCATTTTGTTAAAATGACATGCTGCAACATCATATTAAAGTCTGCCTAAGAACCCTAAACACTTAGAAAAATTATTTTTCTTCAAATTGATCAATGCTATATGTCATCACAAAATTATTTACATCTTACAGCTGGATAATAGTTTAGTAAATGACAGCTGTAACATGGTGTACCACAGCACTATAAACACCACAAATGACTAAATGTAAGACAAGTTACTCCCCACCCCCAAACCAAGTGTTGAAAAGGTCATCTTATTCTATTCAAAATTTACAAAGTCTCAGGTAGAGGCAATCTATTTATTTGATCTTGTGAAGTACAGACACCATCTGGGATGGCACACTCACCTGAAACAACTTCAATTATTGCTCATCCTGGAGTTCTACCAAAGTCACTTGCAGAGGTTGAGTTTCAAAGAAAGAGGTAAAAAAGTATCCATTGGGAATCTCAGAAATTCCACTAGGATTATAAATGCTGTGTTAAGTGTCAAAACAAGGCATGTAAAGTTTACTTGAGGGTAAGGGATACAGTTCAATGGGCAGTATACAGAAGAGGTCAAGGTTGTAACCCTTGGCACTAAGTGGTTCTTACCACTGGATGTGGCTCAATAACAACAAAAATAAAATAAAATAAAATAAAATTGACTCAAAAAGCAGTATGTAAAGTTACCTTACAGAATATGTAAGTCATTCTGTAATTGGAAAAAGAAGAGAAAAAGAAAACTATCACCCTAATGTGTATTTGTGAGGTGACATTTCCAGAGATAAGAGTGCATATTTATCCAAGGACAACAGTACATGAAAAATGCTTCATCTCAGGATAAAAATTTAAACAATGTACTACATAAAACCATGTAAAAAACTGCTTCAAAAAGCACCAATGTGGTAAACAACAGTGATTCAAAAGTCTTAAAAAGAATTTGAATAGAAGTTTCTCAATGATTATAGGAAAAAAATTAGTTATATAATGAATTAATTATATAATGTTATTTCTATATATTTATGGGTAAGTGAAACTCTTTTAAGTAGATATCTGATTTCTACCTCTAAATGTTCAAAGGAGATCATGAACTGGTGATCATAAACTGTTTTTGTTAACATTCTCATTGAAAATAGTGAACAATGCTTGTGTGTGTGTGTGTGTGTGTGTGTGTGTGTGTGTGTGTGTGTCAGAGAAAAGCAGGGAATTAATTTGTCCATACTTGTGGCCAATTTAGACTCAATCCCCAGCACCGAATATGGTTCCCCCAAGTCCTGCTGAAAGTGATTCCTGAATGCACAGGGTGTGACTTCCCCTACAGGGGTGTGTGTGTGTGGGGGGGGGGGGGCGGGGAAGGGGGAGCTTGGTCTTGAAATCATTTTGAAAAACTAATTTTTGTAAGTGAAAAATTATTAAGATTCAGCATAATTTGAATTGATAATATACATATATGAATAGGGACAGTGCAGATGATCAGAAAACAAATTCCAAGTCTGGTATAAGCCTTCTAACAAACGAAGTTCAGTTTATCTGCCAAAAGACTATGCTTTTTGATTCTTGCCTCTAACCTTATTGAAAAAACACCAAAAATCAAGGTTTTGTACTAAGAGTAACACATCCAGATAAAGGCTGAGTCAGTATTATTGCAAAGACTGTGTACAGAATGGTACTAGCTGGTGTCATTCACATCACAATCACCCTTGATTTATGGGGTTTGGTTTGTTTGTTTTGCCTTTGGGCCATCCCAGATAATGCTCAGGAGTTACTTCTGATTCTGCACTCAGGAATTACTCCTGGCAGTGTTTGTGGGGCAATACAGACTGCAGTCAATCAAACCCAGATCGGCTGTGTGCAAGGCAACTGCTCTATCCACTGTGCCATCCATCCAGCCCTGGTTTGTGAATTGCTAAGGACAGATTTTTGGCAGATACCAGAAAGGTGTGGGGGGGTAGTTCTAATAGGCATGAAAGTATTTCATGGGCTCCAGGGAAATGTCTTCTCCAAGCATAGAAATATGAGGAATCTATTTCATATTTACGAGCAGTTACTTATGTAGGGGATATACACATAATCAAATGAAGGACAAAAAAGGACAATTACCTTGTAAATTCCAAACAACCCCAGATCCCGTAAGACAGACAGGGCACTGACTCGAGGACCAGTAGTTATTTCTCCAGCCACTTGCAAACGGATCTTGACGATTTCCAAAGGATTTGTGAAAATCACTTGGGAGCCTCCTGCCTAAGAAGAAAAATGAAAAAAAAAAAAAATAGGATCAAAGCAGAGTAATAGAAAGGCTGATCAGGAAGAGATGAGTGATTATTCTTAAGGGAACTCAGAAGATATATCCTGGAGAGATGGTAGTTTCAGTCCTTGCCTCATCAAGTAAACTGTGAATGTTGCTAGAGCCTAGGTACAGAGGGCCTCTCTCCTTTAGGCAGAGGCTGAAAGCAGGAAGACTAGATGGAGGAACAGGGGAAAGCAAGAGACTTGTGTTTACTCCACCAAAGTCTTCACAAATGACAAATATCTTTAAAACACAAACAACTGTGACCCCAGGGCACAAAGGCAGTAATAAACCGCACAGCTAGTATTGAAGTAAAGAGACGCAGATCTGCCTGTCAAATAGGAAGGAAAAGGGTAGACAAAGATTCTCCCATAATAAACTCCATGGTTCTGGCAATAATTCAAAATTTCCAGGGAACATGTAAACTTAGATGAAAGCTCTTTTTTCTCTCTTAAAATATCAGGCTGATCATCAAACACCATTTTATGGAGTTACGGATTCTCATAATTTTATTTATGTGTTACCTGTGTATAGAATTGTTCTTTTCATATAAGATAAATGTCAAAGTAGTGAAAATATGCATTAAATCAATTATGGTCCAAACTTTGAACAATGTGTGTTATTTCATTCCAGCAATGGCTGGGTGCCACACCTCCGAGCTCATCAGTGGAAATCTTTAAAGTGCACCATAAGGGAAATTTTAAGCTAGCTATTTTGAAGCTAAGCCTATATTTATAATAAGCAATTACATTCTTTCCTACTGCACTTCAACTTGTTATTCCTTGTCACAATATATTACATTTTTATATCATCCAAAACAGGTTGACATTCAATATAGTTCAGAATGTTTATTAAGAAGGGATCTCACCAAATCGGTTCAGAGACACAAAGCTGGTATTATAAGTTTAAGGTGCTATCATGGTAACTGGCACAATTTGCTTCTATATCATAGGAAAGTATGTCTTGTTAGATTCTCAGATCCTAATGAACCATGTATGTGCATTCAAAAATGCCCTATACTAACCCAAACTGGTAACTAGGATGGTTCTGAAAGTTTTGCTTATAACGTCTTGAAATAAAAGATTAAAAACAACATCAATATTCAATGGTAAGGAATAGACTAAATACATTTGAGTAGGTTCATACAATGAGATACTATGCTGCTAATTAAAAAATGATGGGGAAAATGTTCGCTATATATAGGTAGGCAAAAATTCTCCTATGATTAAATGAAACTACATCTTTCTTCCCACCATTCCACACTATCTAGCTTCTGAAGTAGGATTTCAAATGGGGGTTATTTTATCTGCTGTACTTTTCTGTCACTGTCCCCCTGTTGTTCACTGATTTGCTCGAGCAGGCCCAGTAACATTGTGAGACTCGTTACTCTGTTTGGCATATCGAATACGTCACGGGAGCTTGCCAGGCTTTGCCGTGAGGGCGAGATACTCTTGGTAGCTTACCAGGCTCTCTGAGAGGGGCAGAGGAATCAAACTCGGGTGGGCCTGGTCAGCCGCGTGCAAGGCAAACACCCTACCCGCTGTGCTATCGCTCCAGCCTGTACTTTTTCTATACAGATCATATGTAGAAAAAAATTAATTCTTACATAATAAATTAATTCTTTGTATCACTTACCTAATACACATAGTAATCAATGAAAACAGAGGAAAGAAAAAGAAAAAATAAATTACCTTTATAATTGTTTCATCAATTACCTTTCTAAGTCAAGCTGTCTTTCAATTTTTCATTATTAAACCTTAAAACACCTTGTTCTTTAAAACAGACCAAAATTTTTCCTTGTAACCATATACTGATATTGTGTAGAGGGTCAAAGAGATAAAATAGGTTGATCGCATGCTTTGGATGCAGGAAGCCTGGGTTTGAGTCACAAGGACCCCTGACCACTGTTGCAAGAAATCCTTGAATCAAGAACTAGGAGTAGCCCTGGGCACTGCTGGGTGTGACTTCATAAACAAAAAAGCAAATAAACAAGCCAACAAAGATGTTATAAATGTAGAGAAATAGGTACATGCTTTGCATGCAGGAGCCCCAATTCTATCCCCAGCATGGCCTGATCCCCTGAACACTGCCAGGACCAACCCCTGAGAACTGAGCCAGAAGAAGCTTCAGAACACTGCCAGGTATGATCCAAAGACTCCCCTTCTCCCACTCCCCATCAACACAAAATAAAAACTGTCAAGAAGGCAGTAGTTTTCATCTTTCTAGTTAGCTCCACAGACTAGCTTCATCTTCTTTGTTTTTGCTAGTCATCACTTTCATGTCTCTTCTACACAACTCTAAGTCAAACAACTGTGATAGAAAGAAACCTTCTGAAGTGGGAACATCTCACATAGAAGTGTGGGATGATCTACACAGAGGCCTGTGCATGCAATACACATGAAGACATTTGCCTCCAAGGCTCCAGGGCTCAGGATGGCCACACTCTCTTTCCAGGCTGCTGGGACCTGCAGAAAAGTGAAAAGACCAATCTCCAATGCCTGCAGCCTATGAGTATTCAGGGGTTTACATTTATACTTTTCTACAACACACAGGGGTGTTTAAGTTTGTCAGAATGAAGAGCCAGTGGGTTTGGTATATCTTTGTTGCTTTTTTTTTTTGATTGTCAAATAAAAGGCTCTATTTATTCTAATTGGGCTGGTGCAATGACACAGCGATAGGGAGTTTGTCTTGCACACAGCTGACCGGACCGACCCAGATTCAATTCTTCTGCCCCTCTCGGAGAGCCCGGCAAGCTATCGAGAGTATTTCGCCCGCCCACATGGCAAAGCCTGGCAAGCTCCCCATGGCGTATTCGATAAGCCAAAACACAGTAATTGTTGTTGCTGTTTTGTTTTGAGGCCACATCCACTTGTGCTGAGGGCTTACCCCAGGCTCTGCAGTCGGGGAACATTCCTGGAAGTGCTCAGCGCAGGATATGGTGCCAGGGATCGAACCCAGGTTGGCCACCTGGAAGGCAAATGTCTTCACCTCTGTATAACCACTCAAGTCACTGAATTGGAATGAGACCCAAGACTACTTTTTGTTTATTTGTTTCTGAACCACACCTGGCTGTGCTCAGGGATTATTCCTGGCTCTGTACTCAAGGATCACTCCTAGTATAGAGGGAGTCACCTAGCATGAAGGGGATCAAACCTGGGTCAGTCTCATGCAAGGCAAGTCACCTTACTCACTATTCTATCTTGCTGGCCCTGAAGACTTCTTTTTAAAGCACCAACCTGGATAAACCATGTCAGCCATGAAAAAAAAATAGCAAGCAGTCATTGTAGATCAATCTTCTTGAAGGACAGAACAGAAAGGCAATGCACTCTCCCCAAGCACTGCAGGCAAAAGTGAGGAGCAGGCTAAGTCTGGCACATGAAGACAAAGTCTCAGGCCTATATGACCAGCCATCTAACTGGCTATGTGAACCCAAGAGATGGTGATGGTACTACAGCGAGCACAGTGCTCAAGACACCAGCTACACCAAACACACTGGTTTTGTTTTCCCTAGTTCCTAAACTGATGATTCTCCTCCCTGGATGTAACAAGGTTACAATCACTTACAGAGCTTTTAAAAATGTGACATCTTGGGCTGGAGCAATAGCACAGTGGGGTTTGCCTTGCACGCAGCCAACATGGCTGATACAGGCATGGCCGAGACAGGTTCGATTCCCAGCATCCCATATAGTCCCCGAGCACCGCCAGGAGTGATTCCTGAGTGCATGAGCCAGGAGTAACCCCTGAGCATCGCCAGGTGTGACCCAAAAAGAAAAAAAAAAAAGACATCTGTACCTCACTCCAGACAAATAAAAATTCCTGCACAAACTCTTTTAAAAATGCTTTCTATGTGATTAGAACTTGCAGGGGAGTTGAAAAATTGCTTTACATAGATACAATATTGCTAAATCCCTTTTGATTTTGAGAGTATGCTTAAAAGTTGTGATTTCTGAACCCCAGTTTTCACATTCTTTCAAGAAAGGAACCTTCTATCTTATAACCATGATTTTCTACATATCCAAGCAGTGTTATTTATAAGTATAGAATTATCAGACATAGAGTTTCTCTTTAACTCATTATCTTATATCTTCATTAGGACCATCAAAGTTGGTATCGTATAAAGTAAAATAAGAACATATACTCAAGTCACTGGCTCCAAATCAATCAATACATACAAATTCTTTTAGCAAAACCAAGTAATTAATCACCATGGATGGTGCAAAAGTCAAATCCACTTTAGAGAGTCACAGGGAAAAAGAAGCAGAGGGAAGAAAGAACTCTGTGACACACGGGAAAGAATAACACTACACTCGTAACTTCTCATGGAGTCTAAAAGAAAGAACCTATAGAATCAGAGTGGCATGTTGCAGAGGTGCCGGAGATGAATCAGTTCTTTGGAGTCCAGCGGGAAAGAAATGAGAGACTCCAAGGCACCATCAGAAGATGCTTATCATCACATGCACAGTGTCTGGACAGCACCATGACTGGATCACTGAGCAGCATACTGCCTGCTGCTCCACTGACTCCTGATCTATTATCCATTCACAGCACCTTTCCTAGGTCCCTCCTTTGCAGAGATCAAAGCCAGTGGAACCCTCAGACACTGGACAGAAACATATATTGTGCACAATGTCTCTGTGTCCCTCATCATTTGAGAGCTCTGGCTGTGTGAGGATAGTGGGTTTTGTATGTGTGTGCAATTTTGTCACACATTATTTTCCAAGGATTTTCTGCAGTATGCGGTGAGTAGGAGAGAAGGAAACTTTCTTCCAAAGAATTGGTTCTGTGTGGCATTATTTTATTTTATAATGGGGACAGTGATTTCTCTAGAGATTTCTGGTATTTTTGTTCCCATTCCCTTATCCCTTATCTCTGGATCCTCATAAAGAGAAATACATATATTCATTGTCACCTCACTTCTGCCACACTAAATGAATGAACTTCTCATTCATTCACA